TATCCTTCCCTTCAAGGCTCAGGGGTCCAGGATTATCTTCTGTGTCTGTGTTAATTGGTTTCCCTTTTCTTTGTTGAAGAGGGTCTGTGCAGTCTTCCTGCCTAGTCCACCATCTTGCCGGATCTCTCTGTGGTGGTTTTCTTTACGTTAAAGCCATCAAGGGCCATCATGGTCTGAAATAGAACGTAGCCAGTGAGTGGGGAGAAGGCGATGCTAGCACCTCCCCAGCGACCATTAGGAACGCACCGTGAGGCACGTGAGGAGGAGGAGTGCCAGAGGGCGTGGGTAGCTTATGGTTGCAGGGTCAGCGAGACGAGCCTGGAGCACACGGCCTGTGCCTGAGCAGTTGGCATCAGAAGCACCTGCTGGCTCTGGGCGTGAGAGAGACCCAGTGCAGCCTGTTCTTCAGGGCGTCTTTCAAACATGAGAAGAGAATGGGCTTGGAGTGCCCCACACAGTGTCGGTTTACCCAGTGAGCGTCATGAGCACGGGCTTACTTGTGCTTGCTTACTAACCTGTAATGACCTGTAGTCTCACGTTTTTACACCGTATCAAGGATTTTGCTCCTAGGTATGGTGGCATCTCTCTGTCAACCCTGCAGCACCTTCCTACAGAATCAAAGTCTCTTCAAATTCACAATCCTTGACAGGCACAGTACCCAGTAAGAAAGGGAAGCACTGGCTTGTGTCTGGTAATCTGTACTGAGCAGCATCACTTTTTTCACATGTAATGGAACGTCCCCTGCTGACTGGGTCCTCTGCCCTTGCTGATGCCCATGTTGGGGGTGAGAGGCTGAGCGGGCGTCTCCCCACAGGAGTGCACTATGTGTTCGACACAACCATCGCTGCCGATTTCAGCATCCTGGAGAGCCAGAAGGAGTTTGTGCGGCGCTTCCAGCAACACAGTGAGGACAAGCGGGCACTGCCCATGCTCACCTCCGCCTGTCCTGGTAAGCACAGCCACGGGCTGAGGCCAGGGGCCGTGGACCATGTCCCACACGGGCGCTGGGGGGGCTGGACAGGTGATAGGCCCATCATGGCGGCCTCATGGGACTGATGTGTGGTATGTCACCATTCGTTAGGTGTGGGGACTTGGGCCTGAGATGGCAGCTGAGTTTGAATTTCTTGCTTTTGTTTTTCCCGTTCTAAAGTTGCTGAAGCAAATATGGTGTGTCGTTCTTAAAAATCTATTTCCTCTGAAAAGTTCTGAAATCCAGGACTGCAGATAATTGTAGATGGTGGCATGGCAGCACTCTGAAGTGTGTCCTTGGCCAGCTTAAGTGCCAGTTACAGACTAAGACGGTTTCCTTCCTGGCTCCTCATGTCCCATCACTGACGAGCCCTTTCAGGCAAAGTCTTTATCAGTTTCAGTAAAGAGTTGGTGCTTGAGGTATGGAGAAGACTGCTAGAGGTGTTTCTGTTCTAGAAGAAGTGAGATTCGGATCCTGAGTGTGTACAGAGGGCACATAGAAGAGTCGGGGATGCCCCCCATGCCAGCTCTCTCTGCACGGCCGGGTCTGGGAGCCGGGGCCTGCGCCACCGTGGGTCCGGTGCCTGACGCTCAGGCCTTGCTCTCTTAGGCTTCACTTTGCCTGCCCCACTGCGGTTGTCAATCTCTCCAGTGTTAACGTGGTAGTCTTTGGTCCTTGAGACCATGGCAGATTGTCAACATTGGGACACCGTGGCAGCTGTCCTGCCCCACACCAAGGGCTCTAGGCAGGGCTCCCACATGGTGACCTGAGTGGTCTAGGAGGGTAGCTGAAGGGAGGAAATTGAGGAGACAGACTGCAGGCCTGAGGGGGAGGGAGAGAGCAGGCAGGCAGAATCGACTCTCTTCCCAGGTTGGGTCCGGTATGCTGAGCGGGTGCTGGGGAGTCCCATTACCCCCCACCTGTGCACTGCCAAGTCCCCCCAGCAGATCATGGGCTCATTGGTGAAGGACTACTTCGGCAGCCAGCAGGTAAACAGGCCTCTTCCTCCTGGTGGGTTCAGGGCTGGGCCCTCCAGCTGATCATCCTTGGGGGAGACTCAACACAGTGAGGGTGAAGTGCTGAGGAGAGAGCACGCGCCCATCAGACGTGCCCAGGGCACTGGCAGCCCCATGTCTCCCTCGGCCCTGCTACACCCGTGCCCTTGAGATTACAGCTGCAGGACGGAGGTGGCAGAGTTCCCATTGATAACCACCTGTCGCTGCAAGGGAGGGCGGCCCTGGAGTGGGGATGAACAGACTGGATCCCCCTTGGTGGGGACACATGCCATTACTCAGCTGTTCCTCACTTCTCAGTTCTGTGGGCATTGGGCGCGGGGGGCAGGGGACACTGCCTGGGCATCGGGCGCGGGGGGCAGGGGACGCTGCCTGGACATCGGGCTCGGGGGGCGGGGGACGCTGCCTGGGCATCGGGCTCGGGGGGCGGGGGACGCTGCCTGGGCATCGGGCTCGGGGGGCGGGGGACGCTGCCTGGACATCGGGCTCGGGGGGTGAGAGACGCTGCCTGGGCATCAGGCTCG